TGCTGCTTTGCGAGTATCTACTTAGCTACATGTAAAAACTGGCACGGCCACGCCTGGCACGCCACCCCGTGCTCGCAGTATTCGCCCGCCACGCCAGCGCAGGTGCTCGCACGACGTGGCGTCGCCACGGGCAGTGCGGGGTCAATAGGTTGGTCAAACCTCGCACGTACGCAGTCAGGCGCCGGCACGGCGGGAGCGCGTTTGAAAATAGCATCTAGGCCGCGCCACCCCACGTGGAGCGCCGTACGACACTTCGTAAAAAGCTCTGTGATAGACATAACTCTATACTCGGCAGTAGTGCCCGTCATCGCGTAGCGGCCAATGCGCGAGCGCGTCATCGCTGATTGAGAGCATTTCTAGAATTTTCTTGTAGGAGCCACTACGTCTTAGCCATGAGGCGCGCCACTCCAAAAAAAGTTTAGGGACCGTTTGGAGATGGCCTCAAGCCGTCCATCCCGAAATGTCGGTTGGATTGCGCCCAGTTTTTGCGGAGTGCGTTTTCAGACCCCTGTCTCAGATATCTGTCTAAATGGACAAAAAGGGGGCGGCGTATTCGCTGTTGGGGCGCGGCTTTGCAACCGGGGCCGCAAGTCCGTCAAGTCTACAGAGTGATTTCGTTACGAAATCAACTACTGCGAGTGATTTCGTTACGAAATCAACTACTCCAAATGATTTCGTTACGAAATCAACTACTGCGAGTGATTTCGTTACGAAATCAGCTACTGCAAGGGATTTCGTTACGAAATCAGCTACTGCGAATGATTTCGTTACGAATCATGCTAAACTTGGCGCGCCGGCGCGCCAAGTGTCGCATGACTTGATTTCGTTACAAAATCATTGATTTCGTAACGAAATCAAGTCTACAAAGTGATTTCGTTACGAAATCAACTACTGCGAGTGATTTCGTTACGAAATCAAGTCTACAAAGTGATTTCGTTACGAAATCAACTACTGCGATTGATTTCGTTACGAAATCAGCTACTGCAAGTAATTTCGTTACGAAATCAGCTACTGCGAGTCATTTCGTTACGAAATCAGCTACTGCGAGTCATTTC